GTTTTTTTTTTTTTTTGCGCGCATTACGGGAGGAGTTTTTTTTTTGCGTTTGTCTGTCTCTGCGCTGGAAGCGACACTGCAGTAGGTCAACTAGAAGCTTACGTGTTGCTGTAAGTAGATCAGGTCGAAAGGTTTGATGCACCCCTCCCCATGCGACTCGTCGCCGAATACCTCACGTCGCTCGGCGCTTGGTTATGTGCTCCCCTGGTCCGGTGAAAATCCGGCGTGCTCCGTTCGGCTTTGCAGGGATGCGAGGTCCATAGCCTAACAACTATGGGATGAGCGGCTATGAGCACACACACACCCTAACGTCAGTTTTATTTTTTGCGTCCTGCGCAGTTCTCGCGGTGTTGAGGCGGGACGGGACCCTCGTCGTCAGCCTGCGCTTTCCCTCGTTCACACCCTAGACGTGAGCATCGCTCTGGTCCGTTCTTCGTCTCGCCCCCCCATGTCCTCTTTGTCTTTTACGTGATGTTGATGTTGATTTTCAGGGTGGACCCCCGGAAAGGACGACGCCACTATGTTCCAACTCCTGTCGGACAGCGCAGAGGCAAAGGCGCTGCCGGCGGTGTCGAGGTGGCTCGGCCACATGGCTTCCTTCACCGATGCCGAGCGGGGGGCTTGGCCATGATCACTCGCTCAACGTGCGTTCTTCGGGCTGTCCTCTTCGTAGCTTCTAGTGCTACTACGCTGGGTGGGCCCGGTTTTAGATTCATACCCCTAACCCTCACCCCTTGTGCTGGTGGCAGGAGGGGATACGTTTTCCCCACAGATTCGAGGCCAGTTATCAACAACTGTAGGGGCCGAGCCTGTACGACCCGTGCGGCGTGTGTATTGCCATGCGCCATGGGTAACCAGGCGGGCTGTTCGTTGATGTTGCGTGGGCCCAACTCATGGCTCGAACGGCAGGGTGATCATATCACGCGCACACATTCACACCTTCCCAACCCGAGAGCACGCCCACTACCTAGAGAAACCTTCGAGAGAGTGAGGGTCTACTCCTGGGCGTTCTCAGGATGATTGTTGGTTCAGGTTGCTGTCGGTGTGATCTCTTCAGCACTGACGGTTTCGTGTCAGTTGTGCATGCGGAGTAGCTTGACCCGTCTGGAGGTGGCCCTATGCATATGTCATTCTCCTCTTTTTCATCTCTGTTCTATATCCGTCGCTAGACCTGGTGGGACGACTATTTATTCAGGATATATTCTCATTTACTCATTGACTAACCCAACAGTCTGGGGTTACGAACAGCTGCTTTGACCGCGGTACTGCTTCCTTCGAAGACAAAAAATATTGGACAAAGTCATGCCTGCCGTTGCTTTCCTGAGTATCTCTTCGTTAACTTCATGTCCATCAAAGGCTTTGCTGCTGCCTAGCGTGGGCTACATTAGTTGGGCGGGACCGCTTTCTTTCAATCCGCGGGAAACTCGAAGGCTTGAGCCGATTGAGTTTGGCCAGTAAGTTGTGAGCCTTAGCATCTATCGGCCATGATGCTATCAATGTCTACGCCGTGCGGCGGTGTAGTAAGCTCGTCGGCAGATGTATGCAGTATCCGTGCCTCGCTCGCCGGGATATGCGTGTTTGTTTGCGCCCGCACACGGCGGAAAGGCTTCACATTATTTTTTTTTTCGTGAGCGTGTGGCATCAACCAAACCACAACGGAAAAAAACCGTCGCAGGTATCTTGCACGTATACATGTATACTTTATCTATCTGTAGTGCAGTAACACTACCGATGATGTTACGCCCTTGCGAACGGTGTGTATCTTTGAATTTATATTGAAAGTTAAATGCAAGCAAGCTTGAACAGCAAGTCTGTAGCGTTGCGAGCAACGATGCCGACGGTTTGATCGGGAAAGGCCATGTAGCGGTGAAACTTTGGCTGGGTGGTTGACCGTGCTGTCGCCGCACGGAGAAAAACATTATATGTAAAATACGGTTGTGATCAATGTGATTCAAATGATCAGGGGCCGCACACACAAGCACGTCCTCGTCGCGCCCGTGTCCAACCAACAATGCACGCTGCTGTGTAGGCGTTGTGCTGGCTGGGCTCCTCGCTCTGCTGTGCATCTTGTTCAACGGCACGGTGTGGTAGACTGGTGTCAAGCTACGAATTGAGATACCCCGCGGCTCATTACCCCACCCTATCCGCAGCAGCACAGAGCACAGCTATTCGTCCCGTCCTTTCGATGTGCACCTCATTTTTACCCTTGCCTCCACCTGCGAGCCGCTGGAGCATGCTGTACATCCTGCTCACCATCAGCTCTTCGTTGCTGGCAGGCATCATATAAACGGGGAGACGCGCCCCTCCTGTCGCCCGCAATCCAGCAGTTGTTGAACGACTGATTTGCATATGATACAGAAGATACCTGGAGAAGAGATAATTCGTTCTCCTGTACGCTCGACGGGACTGAGTGCGAATCTCGGGGACAAGGGCGAAGGCCTTCCCCTTCGGCTCTTGCCTTTCACCTCCGCCACAGCCACCGCCGGCGCGTCTGCCTGCTGTGCCGCTGGCTGCAGGCGGGACTGTCAAGTTTACCAATATCGGATTTTATCGAGAAAAGCCGGTTTCCATTTCCGGGCTGCCGGCGGCGGGACTTCGATCGGCCTCAATCAGCAATCAGTTGAGCAGATGAGCCGCTTTCTGTTCCTCTTTTTATATATATATTTTTTTTATTTCAGCATGACCCATCTTTCCTTGCCTCTCCGTCCTCCCGCCGACAGGAAATGGCAGGAACAAAAGACACAACGGCAGCTTGCCGCAAAAATATCGACGGAGGGCCTTGAAAGCAGCGCGGCAAAGGCAAGCTTGGGGTAAAGCAGGAGATACATCCCATCAAGCACCCGGCGCACACCTGCGGCCGCATGTATCTGTCACACCGAGGTCACATCGAGCCGTGTCGAGGAATGGTTCTCACATACGAGCCGAGCTCGGGGCCAGCTTCGCCGAGAACGATCCTGGACGCTAATGCTGCCAATCGAAGCGGCGAGGACGACATCACCCACTGCTGTGTCGGCACGGTGAGACAGGCGGATACATACTAGTAGGTCGGTGGGAGATGGGAGGTGTTCTCATATGATAAGGGTATCATGCGGTATGCATACGTATTCAGGTCGTGCTAGCCATCCTGATGCTTTGGGCGATGGTCTGCTGCGTGAGCGAGAAAGAACAAAAATAACTTACAGCCAGCTCAGTACAGCAGTATTTTCATGGCCGGTCGATCGCTGTATCCATAGACTAGGGGTGCATACGGCGTTCGCGTATGCATAGATGTGCGGCATGTTTCCCCGCTTGCCACTACTACAGCTTTTCCAGGCATCCAAGCGAAGCACCTGCACCTCCTACTTCACGGCTCCCTTGGTGCTGATCGATGGGCTCCAAAGCTCACTTGTCGATTGTCGATTGGTGATCTACGTAATGGAACGTTATTCTTGAAAGATCTGTGGTACATCGGGAACGCGCGGGTCAGCCGGACATCCTCGACATCGATCTGGCCTTCATCACACATCGCCATGGTGCTTGATTGGCGGCGTTGCCGTGGACTGCTCTTGTCCTCGGTGACATAGCGGTGTGCTGGCCGCCGCTGCGTCATTATCCCCGGTCGCCGGTCTGTTGTTTGTGTGTGTAAATTTGAATTTTGTGAGACATCCCACATCCCACAAACACGCACAACTGACCGGCGTCGGGGGACCGCAACGCGGAGGCGGCCAGCTGACGGCGCCACCCGACCCCGATCCCAGTCGCACCGCTCGAGTCGAGAGTATTAATAATGCCGTCGCCGCTGGATCGCTGTATGCATACAAGGCGTGCTCTCTCGCGTAAGTATACCTGTAGACTGTATGCATGTGCATTTTTTTCAGACCTCCAAGCCAAGCGTTTGCATCTCATGATTCACGACTGATCGGCGGAGGTATTGCGAAAAGGCCTAACGGATCTATAAAGAACAATATTTGTGGATCTGTGCACAGCGTGGGAGGGTGATGGGGCTTTGGCATGTCGCAAGCGAAAACGCACAGCAGCAAAGAACTACTGCTGTACGAACAACACTACATACAGCAGTAATGAACTTGTTCTCGTAAAACTAGTACAGTATTTATTCATTACCACCGGCCGTATACTGTAGGCTGTGTCGTGCGGGCAGTTTGAAACATAATATCTTACCGAGTGCTCTAGAAGAACCCAAAGTAGTACTTGTAGTTCGAAGTGTCGTTGCAACGACTCAAGCCTGCATGTATGCATATACAGCAGTCGTGGGCCCGGTCATAGTGTCACGAAATTTCATAACCGCTACTCAGGGCATCGCCGCTAAACCTCTTTAGCGGCTATTAATAGCGGTCATGAACCGCTACACCTGGAAAAGCCCATTTTTGGCCTACAAGAGCAGCGTCGAAATTCATCTTGATAGGGTCATGTGTATCACTGCAACAGCTATACGAAGGTGCAGATAAAGATGTGACGAGCCAAAGGACAACGCCGCAAGTACATACATTAATAGTTTATTTTTTCAGATAACGCCCGCACTTGAGAACTTCGCAGTTAAGAAATTGAGACTCGCACAATATCAGAAGCTAAAGCACAAAGCTTATGCTCTCTTCGGGATCGTGTGGCCCTCATCAAGACTGGAACAACGTCGTTCGCGTCTCTGACGAGGTGAAGGTGATCAGACAAACTTGTGACAACGCAATGGCAACCAACCACGTGCTTGAGCATCTCATTTCTACCCTACCATGTGTCGTGATCGATCATTCTTAACCCGACAAAATCTCTCTGATGTTTGCCTTGCGCGCTGATTAAGTGGCGCGCGCTGCGAGGAACGCCATGGTTGCCTTGTGAAAATAGTGTGCTGTTTTTGCTTACGCCACACGACTCCACGCCCTGCACGCTGGCCGAAATCCGATGATAGCTCCGAGTATGCATGGTGGCGGCGCCATCACCCCCCTGCCCTTCGCATCGTCAACTTGTGCCGTGGTATCCAGCCCTTCATAGCTCTAGGTCGTCGTCGGAGGGGTTAGGCCCCCGTCCATGTACGTGCTGGACAATTTTCAGCAACCTCGTCATTCGCGTCCTTATGCAAAGCGTCGGCGATCTCTTCCCGTGCGCACTCTTTCTGAGTGCGCTACCTTATGGCCAAAAAGCTTCAAAACCTCGATCTTCTAGCCAAAGTAGCAGTAGTAGAGCCGTGTGGGGGGCTGTTGTGTAGCTGCAGCGCGAGTTGCTCCTTTCCGCGCGCCTGGTGCTAGAAAGCCACCCTCCACCTCTTGGCGCTTGGGAGGATTTGAGACGCGAGAGGAATCCTGCGCCTTCTTGGTTGCACGCCGGTTGCATCTCGTTGTCATCCGGATCCTCCACCTCCCAACACATGTTGCTGTGTATGCGGCCGCAACAGTAACCTTCACAATTGTGCGCGCCGCTTGGACTCAGTGCCGCATCTAGAAGCTTGCACAGTTCTCCCTCCACGCGCCGCATGGTGTGTGTCTATAACAATAACATCGACCGCGCTAACCGGCTGACCAATGAAAAGACGTCGTCGTCAGTCTCAGTGCGGTTGAAAACACAAAAATACTTATATATGCCATCAACTGGGACCCCATGAGGGGACAGCATGGGGCAGGCAAAAGCTATTATCCGGAGAAAGGACAGAAACGGTAGCAACAGAGGAAAACTGCTACCTTGCACTCGAGTCCGTTTTGGAGTGCTTTCACCATCATCATATTTGCTTTCACCAACATCACTCATCGTCGTCGTTTGTACAGCTATTATTCGGCGATTGTTCTCTAGCCCTGCGTCGTTTGGTGTGTGTGTGTCTCGCTGTGTCATTTTTGTTATGAGCATCGACCAGCTAACAGGCTGACCAATGTCGCTGTGCTGGGAATATGTGCAAGCGAAGCGCGCACTACAGTAGGTCTCTGCAAAAAATGGATCGATAACCGCTATTGGTGGCTGAAAACATGTCCAAAAACCGCTATTTATTGAGGGCACGACCGGTTTAGCGATTCTACAACGGCTAAACCGGGGTGCAGCCGTGTCACGAGACTTTATCACCGCTATTCGGGGCATCCCGCTGTATTTCTGCTAGTTTGGGGGACGTCGTATCTACTCGATATCAAGAGAAGTCGCGTCTGTAAAGTCTGTAAATACCATCTACCGCTCCACACGCCGTTCGACGCCCCTTGAGGGTTCACATTTTCTTGATAATGGAAACCTTTTCCTCCAGTTTTATCGCAGGAAGGGTTGAGCAATTCATCTTTCCCTCACCTTCCACCATGGCACAGATGGGGTTCAGGATCGCCCGCCCGCTCACTGTAGAAAAAAGGATGCAGCGTACACCGCTACTTAGCTTCAACTCCCTCGTCCCGCCTATTCCCCCCGTCCGAAAACAACGCACCAACAGGACGAAAACTTGGGAGAGGCGAGCTACAGGACAGCGGGGGGTGACGAGGGCAGCGGCGGAGGCGGCGACGGCGGCGGTAGCGGCGACAAGAAAGTTGGGCAGCCTGGCGATGAGGAGACTGAGGTCCCTTCACCAACGTCCTCACGAGCTTCTTCTTCTGTGAGCAACAGCAGCAGCAGCAGCAGCGGCGAGAGCGGCGGCAGCAGCGGCGGCGACACCAGCACCCACAGAAGCAGCACCACCAGCAGCATCAGCGCCAGTGGCGGTGAGAACGGTAACAGCACCAGAAGAAGCAGCGGTAGCAGCAGCAGTAACATCAACATCAGCAGCGGCGGTGAGAGCGCTGGCACCACCAGCACCATCAGCAGCACCATCAGCACCAACAGTGCCGGTGAGAGCCGTGGCAACAGGGGCGGCAGCACCATCAGCAGCAGTGGTGAGAGCGGTAGCGAAGGAGGTAGCGTCGGCCCCGACCGCACGCTATCCGCCACAATGTTTACAGCCATGATTTCTCGTCGGGTGGACGATTGGAATATAAGCGGTGAAACCAGTTGAGAGTACAGTAGTCCACACAGTCCACACTCGAAATAACGATATTCTGTGGGCGCACGATATAATCCTACTCACTTAGAACGGATGCTATCATGCACCCTAAGCATCCTCTCACTATCGTTCGGAAAATTTGGACGACAAACAACACATGCAATTCCCGAAATAGCCGCTACAGTGGTCTATCCTGTGTGTTTAATGTTCACAAAATCAACCATCCTAGCGCACCCTCACTGAAACAGTTCTATCGCGCCCCGTTGTTTGTTCTATTCTCCCCTTGAACAGGGAAGACGACCGCGACGCCCCAGAAAAATCCCACCGCCGCCAACAACGCCCCACGCAACAAGCGGCCCATCGCCGCCACGACCCCGCGCAGACATTTCGCCACCACCGCCACATCGACCCCGAGCAGCAGCACCAGCAGCACCAGCAGCAGCAGCAAGAAAGTCGGGCAGTCGGCGTGGGCGATGAAGCCGACCGAGCGCCGTCGCCAGCCGCCGAAAGCGGCGGAGAGGCGGACGCCCGTGGCGAGGTTGCCGCCGAGGGCGAAAAAAGCGCCGGCGG